AACTGTGGCATATTTTCAAATAATTGTACTTGACAAATTAGCCCTTTTAATACATAAGCAAGCAAAGAAAACAAGGCAATTGTGCTCTTCACAAGGTAAATACAGACTCATGCAAAGTGTGAATAGAGTGCGCTGCTGGAGGTGACGTAGACATGTGTGTCTGGCAACATCTTCCTATTGGGTCACTTGATGTGCTTGACACTGTGGGTAACTCTGAGATACTGTCAAAAGTCTAAATCTGAGTCCTTCATGAATGGGAAGCCCTTGTCTCCTCACTCAGATATTCTGAGCGACAAAGCCACCGCCAGCCACCCCAAGACATTCGTTGCTGCTTGTTCGGCCTTCCCTGGGGAAGAGGGCCCTCCTCTCTGGGTGCCCCCTGCAGATGCTGAGGGTGGGGCAGCCTCGGATGACTTAGCAGCTCCACCGCTGGCTCCTTGGGGCCTCTCCAGACACCAGAGTTTGTTCAGGACATTTTCTGAGTCACCGCTGGTGATAAGACAGGCGGGGGCCTTAGTCTAAGCAAGTCAGAATTTAGATCTTACCATTGGAAGTTTGATTTCAGAATATGCAAGTCCCTTAACGAAATGCCCGTAACTTTGACAGAGCTGTAGTCATCCTGGAAGCCAAAACAGCAGAGATAACAATGAACAGAATGCTGAACCTACTGCATAAGACTTAAGGGAAGCTTTATTCTCTGACTCCCCATTGCTGATTTATTTATTCAACCAATATTTATTGAGCCCCTTCCTAGTGCCAGGCCCCATGCTAAGTGCTGGGGAAATTATAGTGAGTGAATATACACCTGGCCCCCTCCTGAGGAAGGCCACAGTGCAGTGGGAGGCTGGGGGGCGCTGACTGAAAATTATGAAGCGGTGTAAATACCCACAGCAGCAAGCACTCTAAAAGAGAGGCACATGGGACTATAAGCACATATTATGGGTTCTGGCTTGGCTAGTCAGGACAGACAAGGAAGGACCTGAAAAACAGATATTCAGCTGTATCTGAGGAATGAGAAAGGAAAGAGAAGAAGGAAGACTGATTTTGGAAGCAACAATAGCACATGCAAAGGCCCTGAGGTGGGAGAGAAAAGAATATAAACACTGAAAGGAAGTGGGGCTGCAGCAGAGTGATGGAGATTTAGGGTGGTGCATGGGTATGGGGGGACACAGTGGAGCTGGGGCTGGCTGGGGAGACCTTGAATGGGTAGCAGGAGGGAGTCCACTTGTTCAGAGCTTCTGGGCCTTCTTGGTTTTCTTCCCTCCTAAGAGCAATGGGAAGTCACCGATAGGCTTTAGGAGGGGGAGGAGACTGGGGATGGCTGAATCACACTGCATTTTGAAAAATCACTCTGGCTGCAGTGCTAACATTGCTGAAGGTAATTTCTGCTTTGCAAATGCAATACACAGGGTCATTATTCAGTTACTGGAAGTAGAAGCTGGCTCCCTGCAGCCAGATCTGGGTTTGTATCCCAGCTTCATGCTGTATTTCCAGTGTGGCCTTGGGCAAACCAGCATTTCAGAGCCTCGGTTTCCTCATATAGAAAATGGGGATGCTAATACCTCCTTCCTCGTTGCTGTCAGGGTTAAGGATATCAAATAAATAAATAGTCTTGTTCAACACAGCATTAACTTTCCTTGGGATTTTTAAAAGTAGAAACCTACTTTGATATTATGTAGAGTATGAAAAAGCCAAAAATAGTAGGTCATATGGACTTTTAGCTGTACTTGGAGAAAATATTCAAGCCTTCACCTGAACTTTGCCTTCCTACAGGTTGATGGTCTGGAAATACCTTATCTTGCCTCTTTAATTAATAACAACAAAATAATAAAACAACCACTTATCCAACTGTTTGCACAAGGTGCTGCATTTTCGAGTTTAGCAGGTGATAGACCCTGGAGGGATGAATAACAAGAAAACATACAAATGACAAGAGCACAAATACAGAAACAAATAAGCAAGCCATTGGCTGTGGGTTGAGTGCATTTGTGGGTGATGATGATGAGAGACTGCTCTGTGTCATATATTTAGCCAGAGTGGAGCTGGTAAGTAAGCCTTCTTTTCGATCCATCCAGAATTGGACATTTTAGACTCTCACCTTCTCAACAGCCCTGGACTCTGCTGAAACAGCCCTCCAGTTGACCTTAAGCCAAGAGCTTTGTCAAAAGACTCAAGAGCCAACTCCCACTGGCCATAGTGAGGCAATGTGAGTACCAAGGATATGAAATATTTCAAATATGTTTATATATTTATACAATGTATCAAGGATATGAAACAAATATGTCTAAATTTTTGAGTATGCAATGACATTGAGAAAATACTGATCACAATACAAGGTGATAGGAAACCAACATTTATTTCAAAAATTTGTGAATAAAGCAAAGGAATCAAACCTTTATTCTGATTTTCTGACATGATCTGTGCCAAATAGTAGCTGAGAGGAAGTTTTTCTTTAAGGAAAAATTTCAGCAGATAAATGAAGAAGGAATGACAGAGTTAGAATATCATCATTCTGTAACCCTGAATGAAATAATGAATTTAGACCTTAATCATCAATGGTTGCTAATATCATAAAAAGACAGAAAGACTACTCTCATTATGTGTCTCCTGATGGAAAAACACCAAGAAATAAAATTTTGCCAAAAAACCAAAATTGAACTGTATATAGTGAACTGGATCAACCACAATTTTTAGGAAATAGAGGGGATGGAGAAAAATGTTCAATGGCATAGACTATGGGAAACAGTATGACAAAGGGGCCAGTTCCTAAAAAAAAATGAATTGTAAGGAGAAAAGGAGATGGAGGGCAAACACATCGACTAAGAGACTTTGCGAGACTTATGACCCAGTCGCAAAGTGTGGATTCAAACAAACTGTTAAAATATTTTCTAAACATTGGGGAGTAACTGGAACTTGAACAGTGAAAGGCTATTTGATGATTTTAAGGAATTTTTGTTAATATTTTAGGTGTGTGTGTTAATGGCATTATGGTTAAGTTTAAACAGAAAAATTCTTATTTTTTAGCAATACAAATTAAAACATGTGCAAATGATTGGTATGATATTCAGGATTTGCTTCAAAACAATAGGAGGGGGGATTGGAGGATGGGGTGGTTATAGATAAAGCACATTAGCCATGAGCTGATAGCTGGTGAAGGTGGGCCATGGGCTTGTGGGAGTTTGGTATTTTCCATAACAGAAAGTTAAAAGAAAAATCCATTGACTAATGCAAAGTCTGTCAATGCCTTTGTTTTAGTTTTATAGACACTCATTATTATTAAAGTATTACAGATATATTAATATGAAGTCTCACTTGGTCAGTTCATCCAGTCACTTTCATGGGAGATCTAGGGGCTGTCCTTGCAGTTAGGAAATCTGGATTCTTATCTAACTTTCCCATTCCAGTTGAGTGACTTTGGAACTTCGCCCTCTGGGTCTCCCTGTACTCCTTTGGGAAATGATGCTTCCCAATCCTTCCTTCCCTTCTTCCTTTCTTCCTTCCTGCCTGCCTGCCTGACTTTTTCTGAGGAATAATTGACACACAATATTATAGCAGGCATGATTTCTAACATCCATCTGACTTTGGATTCTTGGTGTGATTAAAAGATTTGGGTCCTGCAGTCTGACTGTCTGCCTTGGAATCCCAGCTTTCCCATATGTATTCTAGGGTAAATTTACTTAACCTCCCAGAGCTTCAGCTTCTAGACTTGGCAAATGGAAAGAACAATAAGGTTTACTTCAAAGGGATCTTGTGAAGATTAAATGAGATACTTAACGCATCCATTCCACAAACCTCCAGCTCTGGCAGGGGCAGAGAGGGAAGTCCTGAAGAAAACCCAGGAACCCGCTGTTTGGTGCCTAAAAGGAGATTGGAGACATCACAGTGAACGGGACGTAAGAAGCCAGATTTCAAAATACACAGAACTATGAATCAAACACAGCACAGCAATTTCATGGAGAATGATTTTCCAGGAGTGTGGGCTATGGCGCTACATAGGCTAGGAAGGTGCCTGCCTCGGATGCACGGATGGCGGCGCTCTCCACACTCCAACGGAGGTTTCTCAGCCCGGCTGGTTTCATCTCCATCACTGCTCCACATTCTGCCACGTCTGGAGGATTTCAGTTGCCACAACTGGAGGATGGGGTGGGACTCGTTCTGGCATCTCTGCGTAAGGCCTGGGGGTGCTGCTCAGCACCCTACAATACAGAGGGCAGGCCCACATAACAAAAACATCTAGTCTGAAATGTGATAGCGGCAGGGCTGAGAAACCCTGATAAAGAGAGTAGCGCAAGGGCAAGAGGTCGAGTCAGAAGGGAGTTTGCTGTGTTCAGGGTACAGACGGAAATCCCGAGCTGCTGAGTAAACCAGGATGAAGTGGACAAGTAGGCTGTGCTAGGTAGGTGACGGAGCACAGTGAGAGCTCGGTGCAGGCACAGTGAGGAACTCGAAATTACCAGCAAAGCGGTGGGCATCCTTTGGACAGTTTTGAGCAGGGGAGAAAGGTAACCCATGCAATGAGCTCAGAGTATGTACGTGCTCAATAAAATTTGTCTGTTTTTATCATCACCTTTGTAATCCTGATTGCGCCCCAGCCTCAGCCTGCAGCGCGGCCGCAGTAACTCCTCCTGGCCAGCAGAGGGCGCCGGCCGACACCTGGCCTCAGGCCGCCCGGGGCGGGGCTCCTCTTGCCGTCCCCGATCCTCGCCTTTTCCCCTAAGGAGAAGTCGGGAAGGTGGCGGTGGCGGTGGCGGCGGCGGTGGGGACGGCGGCGGCGGTGGCAGTCCCGGCCGGGCCGGTTGGCGAGGCCCGTCAGCCCGCTCTCCGCAGCGTCCCGCCGCGGCCAGCCCAGCCGAGCCCAGCCGCGGCGCAGGTCCGGCGCGGGCGGCGCGCGCTAACGGAGGGCGGCGGCCGCGGCCAGGGCAGCCCGTGGGACCGAGGGCCCCCGGCGCAGCGCCGCGCGGCTCCCGGCCCTGCCGGCCTGCTCGCTCAGCGCCGCGGCCATGGCGGCCAGCGCGAAGCGGAAGCAGGAGGAGAAGCACCTGAAGATGCTGCGGGACATGACCGGCCTCCCGCACAACCGAAAGTGCTTCGACTGCGACCAGCGCGGCCCCACCTACGTGAACATGACGGTCGGCTCCTTCGTCTGCACGTCCTGCTCCGGCTGCCTGTGAGTGCCCTTCCCGGGCGGGCGGGGGCCCCGCCGCCGGCGGCGGCGGCGGTTGGGGCGCGCGGCGCGGCGGAGGCCGGGGGCGGGATGCGCTGGGCTCTGCCGCCGGGCTGGGGATGCGCTTTCGGTTTCTCCGGGCGGAGGTCCAGGCTCCGGGCAGCCCCGGCCGGTGGGGCGTGGGCGGGGACGGGGTCGGGAGGGGGCGCTGGGCCGGGCGTCTCCGGTACCGCGGAGCCGGCGCCACCTTCCCCGGGCCTCCGCTCTCGGGGCGCGGCCGGAGGGGGCTGCGAGGGCCGTGCGACGCCTTTGTGTGCCCGCGTTCCCGCGGCGGGCGCGGAGGTCCGGGGCGGCGCACCTGCCCGGCGCCCGCGGAGGCGGTGGGGGAAGGGGTGGGAGAGCGGGACGCGCTGCCCGGGGCACCGGCAGGACCGAGGCTCTTAGGAGTGGGAGCTGGATTCCGACGTCTTGGTGGCCGAGGTGTGAATCCCAAGGGAAAAGTTCAGGGGGACTCATTGCAGGAGGGGGAGAGAGAAAAACATGTGAGGCTGTGGGGTTTTAGCTCCGTGGACCAAAGAGTCTTGAGGAGTTTGGGGAAAGTTTTTATGGAAGGAAGAGACTGTTCAGGAGAGGTGTCATTGTAAATGCGGCGGTGGTATCCCTAAGACGTTTCTGTCAGTACCCTAGTGTCCTGGCTGTGTACAGAAATGCGGAGAGATGGAACGCCAGCATTGTTTGAGAAAAACGGAGACTGCCGTCTGGGATAGTTTCTATTGTTTGCTTCATTAAGCTGTATTTTAATAGGGTTTTTGTTGCAGTGGAATTCCCTTTGTAAGTTTACAGATTTTGAAACTGGTGATAACTTGCTTTTATGTACTAATTCTGATGGATTCAAAGACGTTCTCGATGCAGTTACATTTTAAATAGTCTGAAGACCTTTGTTTTACCAAAACATCTACTTAAGTTCTTCCCTTTGCATCATTCTTTCAAATAAAGTAATTCAGTACTCTCCCCCCTAATAAAAAAAAACCTTTGTAAGATTGATACTGAGACAAAGTACATAATATCTGAGAAAAATTCTTATTCGAAAAATACAGGACTTGCCCAGTAGTGTACATTTGTTTTGTTTTTTTAAGTTGGGCGACAAGGCATTATTAGTCTTCCATGACTATTGTTTCTTCAACAAGTATTTATTGGGTGCCTACTAGGTTCTGTGTGAAGCCTAAGGGTAGGGGTTGGGGGGGTTAATAAATACAGTAAAATCTTTGTTTTGTTGGTGCTTACATTCTAGTTGGGGAGATGGTAATACATGTATTTTGTAATACATAATATTTGGGGAGATGGTAGTACAAGTAATTAAATAAGAAAAATGTCAGGGGTAGGTATGCTTTAAAATAGTATAGGACAGACCTTGTCTGAGAGATTGCTTTTAGATTGTATGTATAGTCAGGAAAGCACTCTGAGAAGTTGACGATTAGTGGTATTATTGAATTATAGCAATCATAGTGTGAGGTGGTATCTAGGAGATAGTCTGGTTCATGCATTTACAAATGACTTCCATTGAACAACTTTAGTTCTAAAATGAAACCAATAGTACAGTTTGTTTTATGTGTATTTGACTTTTATTTATGTGCATAATAAGTTGTCTTACTAAACAAGATTCTGTGATACATTTAAAGTACTTGGTTTGAAAAAGTATTTATTTACTCTTCTGGATTTCTGACATTTCTGTGTAGCCCTTTATAAGTGTAGCAGAGCAACATTTAGTTTATTGCTGCAAATGACTAACATCAAGAAATATTCACAAATTTCTAGAGTCACGTTTCAGTAAAATTCTAGATAAAAGGATATTTCAGTATAATGACAATTGTTTATTTTAATGGAATTTAATCTGTAATATATGACTTAGTATCTCTGTTCCATGGTGATACCATAAATATTTATTGCTCACTTGGCCAGGGTCAAAATGGGGACTGGTGTTACTTGGATCCTACTATCCTAAGGAGCTTGTATTCTAGCTCTTATGATACCTTGTACTATTTCCTTTCTGTGAAGGAGCTGTCCATGAAATATGTACATGGATAGGGAGAGCTTCACAGAGGATTTGATGCCTGATCAAAGACCTTTAAAGATCCACATAACAGTTGGCTTCATGTAATTGAAAGAGCTAGTTAGGAACTAGGTAAACTTGCTTTTGAATCCTGGCTCTACTTATTAACTGTGTGGTGTTGAGACTGTCACTCAGTTCTTTGAGTTTTCCCATCTGTGTTGTGAGGATAAAGTTTACCTTGTAGATTATGGATGTAGATTAGATTTAATACTAAAGAAAATGTATGTTTAACATGTCACATGATGTTGGTACATAATAGCTGCCCAGTATGTGAGAGGTATTATTAACAAGGGGAGAGGACATTCTTTCATAAGTAGGGAACAGTATGTAAAGGACATTGAAATGAGAAACACCTTTATAAAAATAAATTCATTTAGATGTTTTTTAGATGTAACTCATAACCTGACTGAAATTGGCTTAAAAATATGAAGGAAATTTGTTTTTAAGTAAGACTATTCGGTGGCCTAATGATAACTGCCTAGATCACCCACATCCAAGGATGGTTGTGCCAAGTTCCTGCGGTTACACACGGTTTTAATTTATATCACTGTTACAACTTTTCCAGAAGTTCTTTGATTCACTCTGGATTAGTTTAGATCATGTGCATACCCTGAACCAATGCCCTGATGGGACACATGTTCTTTGATGACTTCATTGGAACAAGGATCCCCAAATAGAGTTTCCAAGTCAGAAATCTAGGATTCTTGGAAGGGAGGGAATGGATACTGGATCAGATTTCTACCACAGAAACAGTAAAAGGCCAATAGCTCCTGAAGATTTTTGTTGTTGAAAGTCAATAATGCAGAAAATTTAAGAATAATAACTACTGAGTTTAATAATAATTATGTATTTGCTTTTTTATTTTATTTTTATTTTATTCATTTTTTTATCATTAATCTACAATTACATGAAGAACATTA